CTCAAACCCCTGGAGAAAGAGCACAAAGTGAAATCATATAGCCTAAACCCGTCCCATAGAGAACGTTGGATGCCACTGAAGGGGCTTAGGCAGCAGGCAACAAGTACTGGAGAACGTGGGATCGGCCAAGTCAAACGCTATGGATAAACCCTCCAATGTTAAACTGATGACAGGACATGAGGTTTAATGATAGCAGGGTTATAGAAGACTTAATCAGGTTGCTGTCCTTTGAATAACCAGCTTGAAATCCTGAATGACCAAGGTCCACTTGATATTAATGGGGAAGGAATTACATAAGTGTGTCTCCGAAAATCACATGCCAGATGCTGAACAGCGGGGGCTGCAAGTCAGAGCTGTAGCATGATGCTAAGCGAGGAAGCCAAGGAGAAGCTGAAATCATAGTTTCCTACACCAGGCCTTTTGGGTTCCCTTTATGTCACCTTCTACTCCATGAATTACAGCTGGAAAGAGAGAGAATAAGAGTCTCTCTTAGATAAAAAGTGATTAAAACCACAGAAAACCAAATCAAACTTTCTGCCTCCTTGATGAAAACAAGAACATCCAAGGAAGTCTGACCCAATAGCATTGATCATAGAAAAACAAATGACAGAAAGGACTCTGCTTCTGTTTCGATCAGCAGTAAGCATGCCTGAGGCTCTGCACTTGGCAGAGGATGCTTACCCTCCACCAGGGCCACTGCTTCTTCAATGATATGTCCACCCAGCCCCCTCTGTAGATGTAATGGGATGAGCAGTGTGGCTAGGCAGGAGGGCAAAGCCTGTGGGCAGCTGCAGGTGCCCTGGTGTTCACACTCTCTGTGTGCTTTGGAATCCTGGCTGAAGGTAACAGATAACACGCCTGGTGTTTCAGGAACAGGCATTTAACGATGGTGCCTAGAAGAAAATGGTGTTCAGCTGTGACATACATTGCCAGCCTGTGCATCACTTCTGCTGCTACACCGTCACTTTGAAATCTTGACTGGTTGTGAGGCTCAGAGAGAGTTATCTGCAGACTGCAGGAGCCTAATGGTTTCCAGAGGTGGCCTGTTTGGAATTAATCACATTCGACCTGACATCTCTCTCTCAACTGACAGCACCTTCACAGTCTGGCAGGCACTCACTTTGCAGACCAAGGACAGACCTACCCTGTCGCCCCTGCTAGGAGAGGGCTGGTGCATTGGAAACCTCCTGTTCCTGAGACAGTGTAATCGTGGAGGAAGGACTTTATGACTCAGGGCTGTCTTGTATTGCTTTAATGTCACAGTATGTCTGTTGCAACAGCGCGTTCAACGAAAATGTACACAGTCTGGTGTCGCAGCCTCTTATCATCTGTGTTCACCTGCCATTCAGGGAGTGCTAAAATTTACCCTGCTTTTACTCAGTGGATGAGCCCATCTAAGGACCAAAGCCATTCTAGGTCAGTGGTTCAAATCCTGCCTGCTGCTCTGCTGAGCTAGTAGCAAGACGTTGTTGTCTCTCCATAACGGAGTATCACAATACCTGTGCTTCTCTTTCCTCTCACCTATAACAGTCTCTGAGTATCCACAGACAGCACTAAGTGGCAGCAATAACAAGAGTTGTCTTAGGGGAGAAACGCACTTCTCACTGCTTCCAAAAGGGGATTTCATGGTAAAAGAGCAAAACTGCTTGAAGTCCTTTTCCTTGTAAAACACTTGAGTGAGGTAGGTAGGTAAGTGATACATATCTCTGTACATATGTCTGTACAACGATCAACAAGACCAAGTGCAAGGTCCTGCACATGGGTTGGGGCAATCCCAAGCACAAGTACAGGAGAATGGATTGAGAGCAGCCCTGAGGAAAAGGACTTGGGAGTGCCGGTTGATAAGAAGCCCAGCATGAGCCGGCAATGTGCGCTGGCAGCCCAGAAAGCCAACTGTATCCCAGGCCACGTCAAAAGAAGCATGGCCAGCAGGTCAAGGGAGGTGATTCTGCTCCTCTACTCTGCTCTCGTGAGACCCCACCTGGAATACTGCGTTCAGCTCTGGAGTCCCCAACATAAGAAGGACATGGAGCTGCTGGAGCAAGTCCAGAGGAGGCCCACAAAATGATCCGAGGGCTGGAGCACCTCTTCTATGAAGACAGGCTGAGAGAGTTGGGACTGTTCAGCCTGGACAAGAGAAGGCTCCGGGATGATCTTATAGCAGCTTTCCAGTACTTAAAAGGGGCCTACAGGAAAGCTGGAGAGAGGCTTTTTACAAGGGCATGTAGTGATAGGACAAGGGGCAATGGATTTAAATTGAAAAAGGGCAGATTTAGATTAGATATAACGAAGACATTTCTCACTCAGAGGGTGGTGAGGCACTGGAACAGGTTGCCCAGAGAAGTTGTGGATGCCCCATCCCTGGAAGTGTTCAAGGCCAGGTTGGATGAGGCTTTGAGCAATGTGGTGTAGTTGAGGGTTTCTCTGCCCGTGACAGGGGGGTTGGAACTAAATGATCTTTGAGGTTCCTTCCAACCCTAACCATTCTATGATTCTATGATTTCTGTCCTTCCAGACTGGACAGCCTCAGGGATGAGCCCATGATTCTTAACATGTAACTGGCAAGGTGTTGTATTTTAATAAAAACTGAGACATTTTGTTACCATTTTCTGCTCATTCCTCTTTTTTCCACCTGCTCTGCCCAGGCTCCATCTTTCCTGGGCACTTTCAGTGCCTCGATACCAAGGCTGAGATCTCAGAGATGTTAAGTTTCCCTGCAGTGTCATGACGTGAAGCAGCAGGGTGAGAAGAAGGAAATGCTGTCCTTGCCCTCTGGGAGAAAGGCTGCGGTGTGAAAACATCTTTTATTACATACCAGAGTGTTCACATAGGAGAGAAATGAGTGAATTCCCACGCAGCAGGATGGGCACCCAATAGAGCTCAGCCCACACATTTTTTGTATGCAACTGAACTCTGAAATGCAGAAATTCCCTTAAGCGATATAGTTACTCTCCTTGGGCCATCGCAGGTGTGGAGGCTGCATGTCTAGGATGCTGAACATCTCCTTCCCCTGTCAGCATGTTAGTCTGATGTATGAGAACATGCCTTGGCCCACACAGAGGTGTTGTGGATAAAGTAAGTTCCTGGTTTTGCCACCAGCTGAATGTGGGATGTTGGATACCTTGCATCCCTGGGCTTGTGTTGGCATTTAAATGCCTTTTGCCTGCCTTAGCCCCTTGGCTGAGGCCCCTCTCACTTCACTATACGTGTTTAAAGCTGGGCATCTACCCCACGGTGGTCCATGAGTGTCCGTCTACAGGCAAATGAAAGACACAGTT